TGATTTCTTCTGCAGTGTTTCTATCTACAGAAGTGGACAGTGTGCTGGATCCAGTACAAGGTAATGACCTCATGCCCTCCAATATTTCAGCAGGATTTGGCCACAGACAATTCATATCTGAGAAGAGTGTCAGCAAAGCACAAGGTTTTTGATAGCCAGTGATAACAAGGGAGAGGGTCTGGGTGACACTGGGTGTGGATTCCGGATTTGGAGGTGTTACTGATGCTCAAGAGGAGATGCCCATAGGGGGATAGCAACCCTACTGCATGCAGTACAGAGAGCTCAGGGAGGTGCAGTCAGGAAAAGTAGATTTGTATTCAACTTACAGTGGTTGAATTGAAAACCATGTCTGTTCCTTAAACGCGGATCCCCAATTAAATGGGCAGTGGCCTTCAAGATCACTCCACAGGGGCTGGGGATTTAGCTCAGCGGCAAAAGCGCCTGCCTGGCAAGCGCAAGGTTGTGAGTTCGGTTCCCGGTACCAGAGAAAAACCAAAAAAAAAAAAAGATCACTCCACAGATGAAGTCCTGGCAACATGATTTTCTCATCAGTCTTTGTGCAGTCACTGTCAAACAAGCTCACACTCCTACTACTAGAACTCATGGAAGAAGTCTCCAAAGCAACTCTGGCAAGTAACAGAAGAAGAAGGAAATGAGTGTAATGAAAAGCGTTCAGGGACCAGAGAAGACTGAAATAATCCTTGTCTGTGATTATAGACTTAGACAGCATGAATCCTATGAATTCCTAAAACAACAGCAAGATGTTATAAGAAGAAAGGTGGTGAGGGGAACAAAAGATTGTATGTCAGGACTACTGTAGTTGAAAATTCGAGGGAGCCTCTCAACACCTAGCTGTGTATTCTAGAGAACAGGAAGATGCCATTATTTTTTAAAAGACAAAAAGAATAATTATAAAGAATATTCTACTCTATATTCGCAGTTTATCCATTCACCTGTGGAATGACGTCTTTCTTTTTTTTTTTTTTTTTTTTTGTTTTGTTTTTGTAGTTTTTTTTTCTGGTACCGGGAATCGAACTCATGACCTTGCACTTGCCAGGCAGGCGCTTTGCCGCTGAGCTAAATCCCCAGCCCCGAATGACATCTTTCTCTTCAGTATGAGGCAGATATGAATGAAGTGGCTGTAGAAATTCTCATGCCAATTTTTTTCTGGGGAATATTACATTTTGATGAAATTTATTTCATTTTGAATTTGCTGATACTTCAAAGCAGTACAGTTGGACATGTTTTAAGCGTGCCATGTGATGTAGCAATTCATTGTGTGGTGTTTAAGTCCGAGCAAATTTGTCTACATTCTCAAGAAATTTTCATTTCCTTATGGTGAAAACATTCCAACTTCCTTCTTCCAGCTTTGTGAAACATGCGGGTCAGTGCTGTTATCTACAGCTGCCCAGCCGGACAATGGCACAGCAGAGCTTCCTGCTCCCGTGGACTTGTCCCTCAGTAATCACTGGTCGTCCTCGCCCCCACCCTTGTTTTCATATTTGTCGGGTACATCCCAGAGCACATTTGCTGGGTTGGGCTGTGTGACAAGGACTGGCTTTGCAAATGCTGTCACACTGTCTTGCATGCTGTCTTACCTCGTTGGTTCCGTTAAGAGTAAGTTCCCTCAGCTCAGCAAGTCAGCCGCTTGACATTGTCATTTTAGGATTGGATCCACTGCAATAAGTGTCACAGTATCTGTTATTTACTTTGCTATTTACTTTTGAATTCCCTAACTACAAAGGTTGGGAATTGAGTTTTCAAGTGCCTATCTGTCATTTGCATATCTTGTCTAGTAATGTATCTTCCAGATATTTTACTTGTTTTATTTGGCTTATTTTCTTATTTTTGACTTTAAAGTATCATTCTTGATTTTGGACACAAATTCTTCATCAATGTTGTTTTCCCTTCCATAATAGTCTTGCATACATCAGATTTTAATTATGAGGAACTTCTACTTATCAGTGTTTTTCTTCCATGAGGTTTTCATTGGCTTTGCATATTAAATATTAAATATTAAAGAACACCAGAATAAATCTAGACTTTCTCCCCCATTATGTTTTCTAAAACTTTTATGAATTATGACTTTGCATTTAGGTTCCTAGTTCCTTTAGAGGTAATTGTGCATGGGGGGGCATAGAGTTTTCTCTTCCTGTCTCTGTGTGTGCATTTTTATTGCATCTGACCTTATGCCACTTGTAGAAAAAGCACATATTTCCTAATAAATTTCCTTTCCTCCCTTCAGCAAGAGCAGTCAGTCAGCTTTCTATCACTTTGAGTATTACTAGAACTGCAATTGTGGAATCAAATTGCAATAATATGTTTAATTTTGAAGATGTAACAATTTTTTATGGTACCTGTATCATTTTACATCCCACATAAAGACAAGATTTTGTTTTGTCCACAATACTGAAAACCTTTGCTAACTTATATTTTTGATATTAGTCTCCAAGATAATTTAAACCTAAATCTCCTTAGGATTTTATTTCCATTTTCTTGATGCCTACTGATGCAGTAGCATGCTCTGAACCTCATGCTCTTTGTTCCGAAAGGTCTCTGAGGTTGCCCTGTCTTGTAGAGAATGCAGTATTGCAGGCCAAGTTGAAGTTTGTTCTGGTTCCATTATATCCCAGATCATTTGAGAACTTATGTACATATGCATTTATAGTGCAACATTGTAGCATCACATTTTGTTTGAATGAAGTATATCTGTGTTTCTTCTATGAAATATTAGTGATTTAT